TGGTCAAGGTGAGCCTGAGGGGCTCCTTGAAAATGGACCCCTTGGTCATTGCGGGTGAGTTCCACCAGAGAAGGGATAACAAGGTGTGGTGGGGAACCCTGACCTTCCTGTTGGAGGAACTGAGGTTCTGTTTCTGGAGGGGAAGGAGGAACCATTGAAGGCTTCTTGAGTGAAGCCTGGCCCACGGCACGATCCCGATGCAAGACACCATTTTTCCCAAGAGTTGAGAAAGCTGTACCAGGGGCACCGCCTTGTCCCTCCGAAGCTGGTGCACCAGCTTTCGGATACTGACCCGACGTTCTTGTGAAAGATAGACCTTGCAAAGGTCTGAATCTATGACCGCTCCCAGATGCAGGAGACGCTTTGTGGGAGTCATGTGACTCTTTTTAAAGTTCACTGAGAAGCCGTGAACCTGTAGTGTATGAACCGTGATTTCCAGGTCTGACTGGGCCGCCTGGAAGGAACTGGACTGCACTAGGATGTCGTCTAGATAGCATTGCACGCGCACCGGCATCAACCTGAGGTGAGCCACCAAGACTGCTAAAATTTTTGTGAAAACCCTTGGAGCTGAAGATAGACCAAAGGGAAGGGCTCTGTATTGGTAATGCCGGTGCGTGTAACAAAACCGGAGGAACCTGCGGTGTTCCGGAAGTATCGGGATGTGCAAGTACGCCTCTGTCAGATCTATGGAGGAGAGGAAATCCCCTTTTCTGATACTGGCCAGGATGGACTTTAGGGTCTGCATCTTGAACCTTCTGTAGGTCAAGAAGTAGTTCAGACCCTTTAAATCCAATATCGCCCTCCATCCCCCTGAGGCTTTGGGAACCACAAACAGGATGGAGTAAAACCCCTTTCCTTCTTGATCCCGAGGTACCGGTTCTATGGCTTTGATTTCTCTTAGATGGGAGATGGCCGTGGCTACCAAGTTTGCCTTGGTTGCGTTGCGAGACACCGGACACTGAATGAAGCGGTCTGGACGAAGAGAATAGAACTCTAGGGTAAGACCGTACTTGACGGTGTCCCTGACCGAAGAGTCCGTGGTGGTCGCCTCTGAACAGCGCCAGGCGACCCCCGATGGGAGAGCCCTCTATGGTGTCACTTGGACCGCCTATACGGACGGCCACCCGAGCCCCTGAAGGGGCGTTTGGACTGGAATTGGCCCCTGGCTCCCATGCTCTGGCGGTCCTGTGAACGATCCTGCCTGGAGGGGAAGGATCGTGAGCCTCTTGACCAATCCCAGGACTGCCCTGCTCGAAAGGGCTGCCTCCATTCCCAGGCCCCACTGGGGCGGAAAGTTTGCCTACGGGAATCCTGCTGGGGCCATCTATCTGACCGTTTGGAGGGGTGAGCCAGGATCTTACGTTTATCCTTGCCCTCGATAATGTGCGGTTCAAGAATTGACCCGAACAACTGTGTACCGCTGTATTTGGAAGTGGACAGACGCCACTTTGACTTCAAGTCCGTTCTCCACTGTTTCAGCCACAGCAACCTACGAGAGGCAACCATGGCAGCAATGGATCGCGCAGAGTACCTGGTCGAATGAAGAGAAGCGTCTGCCACGTACTCTGAAGCAGCCACTAGCTTCCCTAGTGTCTGATGTGTCCGAACCTGATCCGGGGGAACAAATGCCTGTAGTTCGCGAAGCCACACTATCGAAGCCCTGGCGAAGAAAGAGGATGAAGTTGCAGCCCTGATCACCCATGCTGAAGCTTGATGCGCCCGGCGGAGGGAAAGTTCAAACTTCTTGTCCTCCACCTTCAGGGCCTCGACCATATCCCCTGGAATAGCAGAAGTGGAAAATAGAGAAGTCAGGGGAGTATCAACAGAAGGGACTTCCAAAAGGGAAGCAAACGAAGGAGAAACATTAAACAGTTTCTTCTCTGTACTATTAAGAGAGGGTAAAGTAGCCAGGGATGACCACTGCTTCTCCACCGTAGTACGAAAAACCTGTGGACAAGGAATCTGTTTGTCCTCCACAACCTGTTCCGCAAACAAAGGATTGGACTCCTGACTGGTGGAGGCAGAGGGTTTCTCCTCCTGCACCGAAGTGAGATTGACTGTAGTAATGGCCTTCATCAGTAGAGACCTGAAAAGAGAGGGATCAAAGAGCCCTGTGGTTGATGCCTGTTCGGGCGTTGCCTCCTCATCCTCTGACATGGGCGTGTCAGTTATCTCCAGGTCAACAGACTCCTCCTCCCCTAGCTGGGAAGAAGTTTCAGAGACTCCTGACTCAGGGACTATGGCATGACCCGTTTGTGAAGGAGGAATAGAATGAGTTGGTTGAGAAGGTTGTTGTCCCCTGGAAGACATGAACTGCATAAAAGCATCATGCATGAATGACTGAAACTCTGACCACATTTCCCTCTGTTGCAGGGAACCTGTCCCAACCTCCGCTGGAATAAACGTGGCCTCAGGGCCCAAATGAGTAGAAGATGATGAGGAGCGAGGGGGACCAACCTGCTAAGTTTCCCCCTGAGGAGACCAAGCCCTTTGGACATCATGCGAAGAAACAAATGGAGGCTCAAATGGAGAAATGTCCAGTGGAACGGGGGGAACCACTTCAGCTTCACTGGACCTGAGCCTTTGGGCTTTGGAGAATTCCTTTTCCAGTGCCAAATGTCTCCTCGAGGCCTCTCGCTCGGCTGATTTTGAGGGCTCCTTGGTAGAAAGGTGTTTTGTCTTGGCCTTTTTCTTTCCCCCCGCTTCCAAATCAGTAGATCTGCGCTTTGTTTGTGCGGGGGGAATACCAGAGCCCTGTGATGCCTGGGGCGAGGAACTGTCTGCCATTGCAATCTAGATAATCCGGGTAGGAGATATCCAGAAGTGGGGGGAACCCAAACACGCAGACCTGGTTGACAGAGATGGAAAACCGATCCTCGCTCTGCACAACAAACAATGGCAAGGACAGCCAGACAGGACCCTAGACCTGCCTGTCTAGGCCAGTGACAAATGCCACTTCCTATGTGGAACAGGTGGTTAAACAGTTCCCCTTCGCTCAACTCACCCCAGAATAAAGATAGGTGTTAGAACCACCAATAAGTATTATAATCTTCAGGTCTGTCCCGTCTTAATTTTGACGTTATGCACACTAAACAGATTGTAAAATTTCCCCCCAGGTAGAGGCCTGGGAACACAGGCCAAATGAATGAGGCAGGTCTCAATGACCATAAAAGGAATATGAGGTCTGTTAGTGTGTCCTAAGACACTCTCAAAATGGCGGCCGCAGTAAAACACACCCAAAATGGCCGCCGTAGCAAGTCACACTCAAAATGGCCACTGCAGCAAGTCACACTCAAAATGGCCGCCTCATAGAGTCACACAAAAAATGGCCACCGCATCAAGCCACACTCAAAATGGCGACCGCCCCACAATAACCCTCTCAAAATGGCGACCACGCCTGGAGCACGCAGTCAAAATGGCGATCGCGCCTATTCCGGGCCTCCGAAAAGGCAAGGAACGCCAAAGGAGGGAATGGAAAAAATCGACCTCCCTGTTAGGGCAGTAAGTCTAGGGAGCAGCAATTTAAATAAGCACCCTCCCCCAGACACAGAAGGAACTTGCTGTTAGTTGCACAGCCACTGCTGCGATCCAAATCCTGCAGCCCAGAGGAACCTCGCTGCAACGAAGCCAGAAAGAAGCCTCCAATCTGCCTGAGTCCCAAATTACTCCGATCTCCAAGGATCAGCTGGCAGGCTGATCCGCGCTCCGCTGTTCCCTCTGCTCAAAGAGAAACGGCTTGCAGCCTTTTTTGCAGGAGCCTGGAAGGCTCGAAGCCAGAAGGCCCCTTGTAAATTTGGCTATTTAAATAGCCAATTCGATCCCAATTTTGACAAAGAACAAAAGAAAAAAACTAAACTCAAACAAAACTAAAAGAAAGTTAAACGAAAATACTCTAAATAAATTGATTAATTTAGCTTAGCTAAGGAGCCAAAATATCTATAACTTGCTGAGCATGAGACTAAGTCAAAACTGGGAAGACACACCCAGAGGGAGGCGTGGCCAAAGTTCTGACCTAGTCTCTTCTGAGCAGGAAGGCTGAAATTACCCATCCAGCGGATTCTACACCCATCTTGCTGGAGAACTCATGGTCTCCTGCTTTTTAGTTTGGTGCCTTAAGTTTGCAAGTTGCAAGAAGGCTAGTACTCTACAAAAAGTACATTACTGACCATCTTGTGAAAAATCACATGGTAAGTCAGAAGGCTACTGGAAAAATGTTCTATGGACTTAAAAGACTATAATAGAACTTTGGTGTCTGAATGAAAAATTTTGTTTAGTGAAAGAAAAACATTGCTTTCTAGCATAAGAACCTTATCTCATCTGTCAAATATGGTACTGGCAGTAGCATGATTTGTTACTATGTCTGAACCAGGATGGCTTGCCATAACTGATGGAATTGTACCAGCAAATTCCATGAAAAAATACTAGGGTATCTGTCTGTGAAGTTCGATCCTGACTAGCTCAAGACTGATTCAACCCTTCCACCCTTCCGAGATCACTAAAATGAGATCCAGATTATTCAGGGCAATATGCTGACATTTGTAAACTGCTCAGAGAATGCTGTAAAGCACTATGGAGTGGTATATAAGTCTTAAGTCTTATTGCTACTGCTGATTACAAAAACAGTATCCCAAGAAAGAGTAAATAGGTCAAGGTGAAGATCTCAAGAAAGCTGTGGCTGAATGAAGTTAATCATTCTCAAAACAGAGTTGATTTAAGAAATCTACAATAAGGGTATATATGTGGAAGAAGCAAATTTTGCAAGAATAATTTTGCCAATGCCAATGAAGTGGCATCTACAAAATTATACTTAGATATATTTCCTTTTTGTCTTATCTCATGTCTTTGATTTCTTTGGCGTATTATTTATTAGCCTTCCAATTATATACAAGAACATAAAGACTGCAATCCTATGTTCACATATTTGAAAATGATAGCATACTGCAATAACTTCTTAAATGCCCCCCCAAAAGAGGAGAGGAATACAGATAATCCATCTTTACCTGCTGTGCAGATATGGCAAGAAGAATGTGGTGCCCAAGCAATACCATTTACACATGCTCGATGATTATTCAGCCTGGCAACTGGTGTACAAGGAACTCTGACATCTAGAATCACCACCTTAGAGGGAAAAATAATTCTAAACAAATTATTTTAGATTTTAAATTTATTCTTTCATTACTCAGTCTTTTATGTGCTCAGAGCATTCACACTGCAAACCAGATGTGAAGTCAACATATTTATTCCAACTGATGGAAAAGTGCATTTGTTCTATAATGAATATAAACATGTCTCTTGATTATAGATACTTTTTGCAAAGAAGTCTAGATGACAAATCACAATATAAAAAGCTATGACTGCTTATTAGTACAATTCACATATTAGATGATCAGTATAATTTATTTAAATTGAGAAACTAACACAAGTAATTCATTACTTCTAAAAATGGGTTCTGCTTGTAGAAATATTACAGCAACCAAAGACAGGTTAACTAATCTCGCCAAACCACAATAAGGATTTCTAACTGTCCATTTCATTATACTAGGCTAGTATCTTTTAATTAACATATTCATCTACCAGATTATTTTGCTTTATGGAACTATACACCAGTAAGAAAAATCTTCAATAATCCATTTAGCAAAAATTGTAGTCCCATTGCTTTCACCACATAGTTGGAAAGTGAAGTTTACCATACTGACTATATACTCAGAAACAAAGTGTACTAGGTATTCTCACAGAACAGTGTCTCACCTCCATACCATCCATAGCCATTGTTGCAAGGTAATTAGGGTCTTGTTTATTCCAGCAAAGGCGAAGCAAAGGATGGTGCTGAGGATCCTCATAGATAATAGTGCTATGTTCCAAGTGCCTTAAGTCAAACATCCTCACTGAGCCATCAGCACCAACAGAAGCAAACATGTCTCTCCCACCTCCTGCACGGCTGAATGCAATATCATAAACCTGTTCAGATACCAACAGCAAAAGGTAATAAAATATGATGCTTCCCATACTAAGGATTCCTGTCCCACTTTAGTTTTTCATGCAAAGGCAGGACTAAAGAAGGTATGTCCAATAAATTATTTGCTTTAGCCTAAAAAAGGACAATGCTTACCACAATATAGGGCTTTAGGCATAACACTCTCTCCTTCTGAGCAGAATGTTTCTTTTGCAAAATATTTTACTTTGTTGTATTGATTCCCCATTATCAATGAATTACTAAAAGGAAAATAAATGCATTACTAATAGCAACGACACAACCCACCTTGGCTCCTAGATCACTATTTCCAATGTATAGATTGGATTTTAAAAACTTTTAGTAGCTGCACATATTTACAGAAAAAGAAAAAAAAAATACACCATCACCTCTTTGTCATGGGCAATCAACTGAGTCTTGACATGGCCAGACACTAAATTCACTCTTCCCAAGACCTGACCAGTTTCCAAACCCCAGATAGTACAAGTTGTGTCAATGCTAGAAGTACCTGGCATAGTTTGAGAGGAAAGGAAAAAAAACATATATTAGAACTATTTTTTTCTTAAAAGCAATACAAATATGGGTCATTACACAAACTTTCTAATCCTAGACCTCAAGAAAGTGAACCTCTACCTCCTTAATTTACAGAAAGCAACCTCAATGTATCTTTTAACACTTTTTGTAAAATAGTGCTGTAATCCTCAGATCCTCTTTGGCAGTCAAAACATTTAAATCAAACTATCTTTAACTAGGTTTAAAACAAAAAAGAAAGTATATTTTTCTATACTGTGATTAATCAATATTCTATTTAATACTATGGGACTATGACTGCCCATATGATCAAAATATTTGACCTAAACTAATATGTATTAATAAAAGTAAATTTAAATCAACAATAATCTATAACAGAATAAAATTACATATATTCATTTTATGCATCAATGCAATTCCTTGTATAAACTTCAATTTTAAAGCCTTAGTGAGAATTCAAATAAACATTAAAATGGGAGAAAAAGTATAAGACCAAGAAGGTCCTAGCTCTTTAGCTATTAAAGGAACTCATGATGCAATTATAAAAGCAGACTACCAAAATCACAAATCATTTTTCTGCTTAATATTTGATAATTGAAAAGCTGATACTTAATGATTTTGACTGACTAGCTAATAATTGTACCAACAAGGAATTGCCAAAAGAAAAGAGTGATTAGAATAAAATTGTTCAGGTCTCTTTATTGGACAATGTAATTTTAAAAGATACAGATATAGCTCCATGTCAAATTAACCAATCTGTCATAATTAAGTCAAATAAATACAGGTAGTCCTTTACTGTTTGTTCAGGGACCATCTGAAATTAGGACAGCATTGAACAAAGGAACATACAACACTTCCTGAAGTTCTGACTGATGCCGTCTTAAAATCTAAAATACAGTTATGTGACAAAAATTCAGATGCCCACTCTTATGACCATGGCAATGCTACAAATTCCTGGTGCCATGTGTTGGGAGGTCTCAGTTGGCTCAGGAGGCCCACCCATGTGCAGGCCTCCCATCCATCCCCTATTCCTGGAAATCCTGGGCCGTCTCCCTGCCCAATCGCATAAGTCCACTAAATTTCCCTTTCCATGCAGGTGCTGACAATCGCCTCCAGCTGTTAAAAAACACAGTTATTATAAAAAGCTAGCCAATGTGATGTTTCCGAAGGCAGAAATAATCTTAGAACATTAATGACTGGCACTCATCTCACAATGTACTGAGGCTCTTTCTATGTCAGGGAACATCATAAAATGAACACCAGCCTTATGATGTTTCTGAAGGCTAGAAAGAGTCTCAAAAACATCATGAAGGCTGATGCTCATGTGGTGATATTTCCAAAGGTAGAAAGAGTCTCAAACATCACATTAGCTAGATTTCTATAGTATCTGTGCCTTGCATCAGCTGAGGACACTTGTCAGTAGCTGCACAGAAAGGGAAAATAAATGGACTTGCAAGTTTGGCCAGAGAGAATGCCCAAGACTTCTGAGAGGGGTGGGGGTGGGGGGAATATCCATACATTGATGGGCCTAGCTGTTCAAAGTCTCCCAGCCCACAACAAGTTTCCACATGCCAGTGCACACTGCGCTTCCGCCACACTCTGACACAATCATTTAATGACTTGTATGATCACTTAACTACCCTAATGGTGGGAACTAAGATTGGGATCATTCACCAAGTGGGTGCCTCACTTAATAATCATAACATTTTACAATCCAAATTCTGGGCTCAGTTGTAATTTTAAGTTGAAGATTATCTATAGTAAACCTCTCCAGTATTTGCAATAGGTCAAGAACAATCTTTTTATTTCATGAAGTTTTTACTGTTGAACAAAAAAGTCAAAATGTCCATAGGAAGCTCTTCCAAGGCTAGTTTAATTCTCTTGATAAATCTTATGCTGAAACTTTTAGGATCTCCTATGGCAATAATTCCAGAAAATTGTTGGTATCTTTTCTTGGAATTTTGAGAACAGATGAAAATAAGCCCAGTCAGGAAAAAAAACCCCAAAAAACCTTCTCTAATCCCCCTTTCACGTAAATTCATGATATATCTCCGTCCATTTGCAGCTAACTACTCCACCCAATATGTTAAGGCAACCAGTCACCAAAAGATTGTCTACTTCTTATCTAGAAAATAATTCAAAGCCTACCTTTGGCTAGTTTTTTGAAATATTGGTCAACAATTTTCTTAGCTAAATTTATAAATAGAACTCTTAGTTGTTTTAATCATGTTACCATCATCATTCTGCTACATTAGTATTTGGACCTTACCTAACAGATAAGGATCCACTTCATTCCAATCAAAGGAGGTCAGTGGAGCACAAAAATCAGAATTCTTATTGTTGTTCAGCAGACATTCTAGCCTGGTCTCTGTTTCACCCACCTGAACAAAAAATATCAATACATACTTGTCATCACATTGAGTTAATTTACATATTTAGAAGAGTATGGATTCCTTAAAATTTAGGGAAATGGCCATTCTGTATTTAGTCCTCCAAAGTCTCATGCTTTTCCATGACTCTGCATGCATTTCATTGCATCCAGAGAGCAATACCAGAGACAATATATAGTTTTCCCATTGCAATTATTGGATTCTTCATTATATTAAAATACAGAATTCAAGAGGTTTTTAGTTAAGTTGCAGGGAATTCCTTATAGCAACAGAGTCATACTTTTCCTTGAACCCTTAGATTTTGAGGGGGCACAGAAGAAAATCCAACTGCATGAAAAAAAAAATCTTTATTTCATGTAATTTTAGATTTAATTAGAGGTATCAGCAGAAGCAATGAAAGAAGCAAATGACAAGAACATTGTTGTGTCCTGCACATATAAAAGGGGTGGCACTTGCATAATGGTGCAATGCTGCTTTCAATTTGACAAAATGTCAGATCTTCTTGGCTATAATTTAATCTAAATCTGATTTCCTTTTTAAAGTTTCTTATTCATTTTTTAATTAAAATTTATACAGATAGTCCTTGACTTACAATTCATTTAGTGTCCATTCAAAGTTACAACAGTACTAAAAAAAGTGACTAATGAGCATTTTTCACAGTTGCAGCATCCCCATGATTATGTGATCAAAATTCAGATACTTGGCAACTGGTTCATATTTATGACTGTTGCTGTGTCCCAACGTCATGTGACTCCCTTCTGTGATCTTCTGACAAACAAAGTCAATGGGGAAGACAGGTTCACTTAACAATCGGTTACTAACTTAACATCTGCAGTTATTCACTTAACAACTGAGGCAAGAAAGGTTGTAAAATGGGGCAAAGCTCACTTAACAAATGTTTCACTTAACAACAGAAATCTTGGGCTCAATTGTGGTCATAGGTTTAGGACTACCTGTACATCAGCCATTTTGCTATTTGGCAACTCTAGGTGGCTTACAATATAATAAAAAAATAGAAATAGAAACCATTATAAATATAGAAACTGATTAAAATTACAAAAGATTAATTATAGAGTAAAACATCATAAGTTTAGAGCAGAGCAGTGATGGTGCCTTCTCAGTCACTGCACCAACTGTAGAAGATGACCAGGCTGAGCCTGACGGTGGGGTTAAACGTGTCATCAGTTTGGAGTCACTATGCTCTCACAAGAGACTTAAGTCCATCCCCGCATGAATTCAGTTTACTCTTATCTACCGGTAGCACGAATTTGCCTTGACCATTAGTAGATAAGATTCCTGTATATAGGCAGGAATACTTGGTTTCTTGTGCTTGACATCAACCACCTCCAGCCTACAGCTTCTCCATCAGGGCCCCACACCAACCGGCAAATCCAGGTTTTAAAGCTCCTTGTAAAGGCCAGAAGGGCAGAGGTAAATCCAGTGGTGGAATTCAAATATGTGAACAACCGGTTTTCTGTGTGAATGCGGCTTCCAGAAGTCTATTCTGGGCCTGGACAACAAAAAATTAGCTATCGGTTCTGCTGAAGTGGTATGAACCGGCTGAATCCCACCACTGGGTAAATCTCATGTGCTGGGAGAAGATGTTCCAAAGGGCGGGGGCTGTAACAGAAAATGCTTTTCTCCTAGATTTTCACCCTCTGCTGAAATTCCTTGGCTAATGGGCTTTGCACTACTAGGTCCTTTTTGCTAGAGTGAGACAGGCCAACCCCTTTGGGGCAAAACCGACAGTTCCTCAGATGTCCTGAAGCCATGCCATAAAGGACTTTAAAGGTCATTGACCTACAATATATTCAGGTTATTATTAATTGTGATTACAATAAGTTCAATGTTTCTGTTTTTTAGGTGGAATTACCTGATTTATAAAGTACTCTTTGTAAGCAATCTTCTCATAAAATCTCTCAAGAAACTTAAACTTCAATATTTTACAGCACATTTTTGTGGATTTTTTTATCCATCAGATACAAGAAATATAATCTCAAAAATATAGATATTGGATTGTATTATTTTTGCTATCCATTCATGAGATATGGACAAATATCAGATTCCAGGATCTACTTTATTTTTTAAAACAAATCATCAAGATCTACAAACCAGAAGTAAATAAATATTTTCAGTAGCATAACTATGCACAATGCTTTCACACAAAAGCAGAGATGACAGAGTATCAAATGCTATGTGAGATACTCTGATGGGTGTTTAGAGATGCAATTTTATATGTAATGAATATGAGACCCCATTTGTTAAGCTGGGCTCTAGAGATTAATTGGAATTGTTACTGTAATAGATCCCTGTTACTGCAACCTATCTACCTAAGTTCCTTGACTTCATGGCCTGATGGTCCCAAACTTCCTCAGGCTTATGGTCTTAGGGAACTTCAAACTGCTTTCTCTGAAGGTAATGTCTGAGATGATTTGGAAGTTCATGGCCACACTAGGATAGTTTTGGATCTGATGCAATTTGTCAAGGGCTTAACACATAGTGGTGATCATACACAAAATCTAATTTTCTTGTCAAAGCAGTAGCTTGACAAATTACTCCCTTGGAGTTGGAGAAGATTACCACTATTTTCCTGTCAATGGTCAAATCACTTTTTGATTGCCTTGATGTTACTCTCTGCTGCAGAAAGGCTGAGCCTATTTGAATATCACCCAGGCATTGATGGACTTTATTTGGTTTCACAGGAAGCTTGGAGAGTGTTCCTGCAGGTCTGGTGCATAGTTTGACTGTGGCTTCAGTCACCGCCTAGAATAAGAAGGTGGTTGTGAACTCGGATCAGATCATGCTTATGTGGCTTTTCTCCTGCTGTGAATCCCAGGGCTCCTTTTGGTTCATAGAGGAGCAGAAGGAAGTAAAAATATAAGAGATCCTGAAAGCAGTGCTTAAGGACAATGAGGAACAAACTCAATGAAGCACGAACTACAGCTATTATTAAGACCTATGTTATGGAGGTAAAAGTGGTAAAATATTCTGTGGATAGCTGTCCTGTTTAGAAAGACTTGGTCCTTCCTGGAGAACTGGAGATTCTCTTTCAGAGCCGCTGTAAGGAGTATTCTAGGCAACTTCAGAAAAAGGTATTTGGATTTGTTCCAGGCTAGACTCTGGCACTAAGGCAGATCCCATGAAAATAACTGAGACTTAGTGTGGCTCGGTTATTTGGGGTAGGTTTGACCCTGTTAGCTCTTATGAAATGGAGAGGAGTTTTGGAATTGCAAGCTTGCCACCTATATATTAGATCCATGTACCTGCTGCATTGCTAAGATTTTTTGGGAAATCATGTGCAACTGGTCCTAGTGGTGGTGAATCTATCACTGAGGGAGATCAACGTCCTGCCAATGTTGAAAGAGGTGTTGGTTACCACCTCAAGAAGCCTTCATTGGATGACTTCTTCCTGTGTCTGAATTGCACTTTTTGGGAAAAATGTGGAGAAGGTGATCACACTATATCTTCAGAGTATCCTGAAAGAAGAACATCATTTGGACTCCTTTCAGTTGGGTACAAGACTGAAACAGCACTGATTGTGTCTGTGGATTATCTTTGGCAGGAGCAGGAAAGATTAGTATGCCCATTCTGGCTCTTTGATCTGTCAACAACCTTCAATATCTGGATGTGTTCCCAGGCATGGGGATCAGGAGGCTGGCTGGAGACCATATAGTATTATCAGTTTATTAGATCTGTTTTCCCCTAAGGGGTCCTTATAGGTTTTATATTTTAGTTAGTTTTGACTATTATTTTGTAATAAATAATAAACTAACAATAACCCTGTTGTTAACCAGTCAGAGTTATTTGACAACATATCTCACGTTAACAATTTTTAAGGGTAGCCAACAATGTATCACATAATACATACAATACAGCAAAAAAATATTAAGCAGATTAAAATACATATAATGCTCAGTTGCATAAATAGAATAGTGTATATAATGTTATAAAATGATAACAGTAATTCATATAGAGCAATCTCAAAGGAATCCATTTCTCCAGTATAAATTAAATTAATAATGGATTCAAATATTTATTTGTGAACCATTTGAAATAAAAATAAAAAATAAAAAAACCAACAAGACAAAACTAGACAAGAACATTAAAAAAGTGAATTAAGAGGACAAAAAAAACAACACATCTTATCCTCCCTAATTGAACACTAACAAATATATTGCAACAATAGCAGCTTCCCCCTTACAAAACAGGTCCAAAATTTATAAACTTCTACTTCTATTTGCAACCTAATTTGATTTGTCATACATTGTATATATTAAGAAAAAAATAGTCAATAGGTTAATCAACAGCAAAGTTAAAGTTCAAGGCCCTCTGTTAACAATCTTGTTATTGTAATTTACTTGTAGAAAGTCATTAACTCTGATCCATCCAGAATCAAATACCCTCGTTTGGCTCTTAATAATAAAACCTTTCCTTAGGATTTTATTTGGGAATGTTCCCAATGATTGCATCTTATTTCTGAAATTCATAGATCTCTACTGTAAATATCTCTATAGTATCCATTGTTGAAAAAATCTTGGAACATAGAAAAACAGAGTTGGAAGGGATCTTGGAGGTTATCTAGTCCAACCTGCTGCTTGAGAAAGAGACCCTATATCATTTCAGACAAGTGGCTGTCCAGTCTCTTCTTGAAAACCTCCAGTGATGGGGCACCCACAAGTTCTGAAGACAAGCCACTCCACTGGTTGATTGTCCTTAGAATCTCTTGTATTCATATTTCTTTCAATCTTTTCTAGCAAATCTATAGTTTTCAAATCAAGTACTTTCTTCTTCATATCTGGCAGCAATAGATCAGATTCCAATTCATCAAGTTAAAAATCAAGTTCAACTGTTATTTCCTGCTTTTGGATATTGTCCTGTGTTTAAATGCAAAGCCATTGTTGACCCATCAGATATTTTATTTATATTTTCAAAAAAAAAACAACAACTCTAGACTGGAGAGCATTCTTTTTTCAAATGCTTTCCAGAAAACT